AACCATGACCTGGATGACTGAGAATCTCCATAGACATCTATATTTGATTTATTAAATGCAATAGATGTTTGTAGGCTGGGTGTTATCTATGACTGATTTGAACATGGTCTTGATTCAGTCTACAGGAGGTTTGTTTGCAAAGCCTAGAGTTCTCCATATCTTCCCCCACAGGAGTCCCCAGCCCCTGATCCATGGACTGGCACTTGGCCACAGCATGTCAGAAACTGGGCCATACAAACAAGCAAAGTTTCATCTGCAAGATGCAGGCAGCACACAAAACCATGTTTCCTCTGGTCCCCAGAAAAATCTCTCTCTATGGAACCGGTTCCTGATGCCCAAAAGGTTGGGGGCGCGCTGTTCTACTACATGGAGAAACCCAATGGGTAGAAGAGGTTCTCCATTGCAAACTATCAATATCTCTTCATGGAGAATAACCCCAGTCCTCCCCTCTTGCAAGTTGTCATACAGGAAAAGTTTATTATATGTGTCATGGCTAACTTGTTATTTATATTTCATGTTTAATCTTCCTGCTTGAAATTAGGTCTTTTCCTTATTTGTTCTCTGTAATTTATGGTAGGTGTTAAAATATCATCCTCATAAATGGAGTCAGAATTTTTTTAAAAATAGAGATACATTCAATTCCAATTTAATTTAAATTTCCTCTAATTTATGGAGTATAGTTTAAGTTCCAAGTTCCTTGAGTCTTTATACTAAACTTGCAAAGGTGTTGCCCCTCCCCCCTGAAAACTATGTTCTGACAGTAGACTGAATATCCCTCTTGTTTACATGAGTGACAGGATTACAAAAAGACAGTATATATACTCTTAGAAATTACCTGAGTTTCAGGAAATTCCAACACCCCTGACATTCTTTACGTGCAACCAGAACAAAACATTGCTGATAAAGAGAAAGTTATGAACAAGACCAGTCTTCTATAGTTCATGCTTCTGTAGCAGGATATGTAGATTTTCAATGAACTCTTATATGCCACTGCCAGGAACTCAGTCAGCTGTTACTTTCTCTTTTATGCAAACAGTAATACTGTGTTGATTATTGTAAAGAATTTTTCTTGACATAGATATCTGAAGAAGCAAAAGAGCTTAACTGCTTTATGTAGAAGTTTGTTCTTGGGGATGAATGTCATATTACGTAGCTGCAAATGTTAGTTTACATAATCAAGACTTGTTCATAATTCAGAGGACACATTGTGGGGTGTGTAGGGTGTGGTTTTTTGAAATAACATTCTTCTTAATACATGCTGCTTTGTAATATAGTAGATTCTTTTGAAATATATTGTATTGAATGTATTGTATACTTTTTTCAAAATGATTTCTCTTGCCTTCAAATATTTAAGTTGAAAATAATTGAAATTATTGTTGAATGTTATTTATGATGATGATTATGATGTTACCTGAAACATAGTCCACTGAAGATAGAGGATGGTGCTGAATATTATAATGAATTCTTTCTAGAGCTAGCAATTGAAATGTTTTGGGTAGCATATTAATTAACAGTAAACACTTCTAAACAAAATTAATTCAATAGTGTAATTAGCAGTTTATTTCCTGCATGGCCTTCAAAAGATTAAATATGTCATTTATTCGTACTATAAGTGATAAAATGTAGCACTTCAGCATTTCCATGGGATCTGGTTGCCCAAGAAATAATTTGTTAGTGAAGCTTGTTAACTGCAGGATGCAGAACAGAATTGTAACAAGGCATGTAACCTGTATGTTTGGAACAAATAGAGGCTGAATAGCTGTATATGTAAGGTTCCCAGTGACACACAAACGTGTGTGTGTGTGTGTGTGTGTGTGTGTGTGTGTGTGTGTGTGTGAATTATTAGTAGTTCATGCTTTAATTTCAGATATGCTATGCATTGGATTTTAATTTTCTTATATACAACAAGAGCACATACTATAAGACAATTAAAGGGAGAAATAAAATATGTTACAATTTGGTCAAATGTGAATTTTGAATCTGTTTACATCGGATTATTGTATTGACACATTAACATTTCATGGAGTTACAACTTTTTCCTCCTGTGATTTTGATAATGGATAATTATGAAGTTGTATCTATAATATGAAAAATTCTGAGCAGCTAAATCCTTCTGATCAGTTGTTAAAAGAAATGATTGATAGAGTGCATTTTCTTCCTGGATTGGCCTTTCTTTAAGGCTTGATCCTTGGCCACAAGAGAGACAGATTGCCTTTTCAAACTGTCCTTCCAAGCAATATTATAATCCTGGTGTCAGAAAATTGTGTGCAATGTGGATTTTCTTACTAAGAGGCCTGATGCAATTCCTGACCAGGTGTTTTATCTGAAAAGCAACAAGTTAAGAAATGCTCTGTAGGCTCCTTTTCAGTAATTATATCTCATCTAGATAAAATTTATAATTTGTATGTTTATGTGTTTCTTGAATACAAGAAAGAAAGAAAAAAGAAAAAAGGTAAGTTTGTAAAGTAAAATACTTGGCAAACACATCTTTTCTTGAATGAAACTATTTCCATCAAGTTTTTTATATAGATACTCTGTATCTATAAAAAGGGCAGAAATATACTGAATGTTAAATGCTATGCTGCCTTACTTGTATTACAGATAGTACTCAATTTACAACCATTATTTTAGCAACTGTTAAAAATTACAATGGCATTGAAAAAGATTACTTTCAATTGGTCCTTGCACTTACTACTGCTGTAGCTTCCCCAGGGTCATATGAACGAAATTTAGGCACTCGTCAACTGGCATGTATTTATAAGGTTGCAGTATTCCAGGGTCATGTGATCACCATTTGCCACCTTCCCAGCCAGCTTCTGACAAGCAAAGTCAATGGGAGAAGCCAAATTTGTTTGATTCACTTATCTTACTGCAGTGATCCGCTTAACAACTGTGACAAAAAAGTTGTAAAATTGGGCGTGACATTTAACAGCTGCCTTGCTTAGGAATGGAAATTCTGGTCCCAATTGTGGTAATAAATCAAGGATTACTTGTTGGAAATGTGACCAAGAACCAGGCACGTGCTACCATATGTGGTGATCGTGTCAAAAAGCCAAAATATACTGGCAGAATATCCAAAAGTGGTTGATAGAGATAACTGAAGAGGAAATAGAATTCATACCAGAACTGTTTGTCTTGGGAATTATAAACAAGAAATATAACAAGGAAGTAATCTTTCTAACAATACATATTATCATGGCAGCAAGAATGGTCTTTGCCCCAAACTGAAAAACAGGGAAACTCCACATGAAGGGGAAATAATTAGGAAAATCTTGATCTGCACTGAAATGGATAAATTGATGTGGGAATTGAAGAATCAAGATGAATCAGAATATTATAAGATCTGGGGTAAATTTGATTGATGGTTGGAATATAAAAGGAAAAGCCCAAAATAGACATGAGTCAACATTGACAGAATGGAGACTAGAATTATGTATGGAATGATAAATGCAAGAATGTATAAGATAAACTCAAACCAACATGGCTGGAAATAGGTTACTTTTTTCTTTTTTGTAAATACGGTATGGATCAAATGTTAAAAAAACAGGGTGGCTATAATGTATAACTGAATATCTTAGCGTATATGGCATAGATTCTGCCAGGACAGTTTACGTTTTAATTTATGTTTAATAAAAAACTTTTTAATTTTTTAAAAATATTACTTGTACTTAATATAAATTCAATTTTGAACAAGCTCAGAAAGATTGCAGCAAACATCCAGCAACATCAGCCATCTTTGATTAGTGTTTATGTGCTCCGGGGATGTCAAGAAAAAAGACATAACTTGGTAATTTAAAGAGAAGGGATTGGAGAATAAGATGGAGATATTCATGGCATGGAACAACTTAGCATCACATAACTAGAAGTAATAACATGTAAGATTTCATTGTAAAGTTGAAGAAAAATGCTGTGAATTTCAAGGTTTTGTACCTTGAAGGTTAGTTAACTTAGTTTTTATTTGTACTGGGAATATGTGAGAGTAAATTCTGAAATTATATTGCAAACATTATATGACCTTATTGAAATATTTCAAGGCCATATTTGAAAAAAAATAGTGTGTTAACCACCAGCATCATCTGCACTCAAAATACCCTGCATGCAGTCAAAAATAATCTGCTTGCAAAATTTGCTCAAAGGCATTCTTTCCATGAAAAATGAAACTGTCTTTCTTGTGACCTTTCCCAACTGGGCATGCAAATTTGTTGGACTTTTCAAAGGCGAACCATTCACAATTTGATGTGCTGTGCTTAATTGCAATGTCGCAGTTGGAGACCCAGCGTGAATAGTCCTAAATTGGTATCTTCTGGGAAATGTATGGTATGATCAGGGCTTTGGTTTTGCCGTAGGAATAGCTGCAAAGGAATTTAATAGTGTCTCTAGAGGAAATTTGAGCTAAGAGTGGAGAATTGAATTGAATCCAACCCTGTGGCCTTCATCTAGATTGAGATTCAGTACATATTTGGAAAATGATTGCTAATGTATGCTTGACATTGCTGATTAATAGAATCTTTACCAGTAAAAATCATTCTTGTAAGTAGATTGCATTGGAATCAGGTTGTTTTGTTATTCATTGGCTAGTTTGTCTAATGCACAATAGTAATTGCTGTTTTTTTAAAAAACAAATCAGCTGACCCAATGAGTGGGGATTTTTAGTTAATATTTAATAAAGTCCCATTGGTATATGATGATCAAGAGGAACTTTAACTTTCATTTTTAAAATTTGCTTTTAATATCCTTTTCTTTTTGCACTTATATTTTGCCCTTTTTCCAAGGATTTGAGAACAGCGACTATCTTCAGAAACTTATAATGTTAGAAATCTTGATCGTTCTGTGTGTTTCAGAAACTGATTGAGTTTAAACCTTTGTAACAACTTGTACTTTATGTCTCTCACATCACAATGGATAAATTTACCATAGTTGTTGTTTATTCTTTAGAAAGCTCAGAATGGTTCTTGTGGTTGCTATTTGTCTTTAGAGACACTTCGCTTTAACAGATACAGGGAGCAAATATATTCAGATACCATAGTTCATATCATTTTCTGTTTTAATGCTATTTTCATGAGCAATTCCCTTCCTCCCTTGTTTTGCAGAGATTCGAGCCCAGCTTATTGAACAACTGAAATGTCTTGATCAGCAATGTGAACTGAGAGTCCAACTGCTCCAAGATTTGCAGGATTTTTTTCGCAAGAAAGCTGAAATTGAAATGGATTACTCCAGGAACTTAGAGAAGCTGGCTGAACGATTTCTGGCAAAAACAAGGAGCACCAAAGACCAGCAATTCAAGTAAATCATTTCCTTTTGGAGCAAATGGGATCTGGGAACTGCGGGGAAAGCCATAAAACTGGGAAAATGCCAGCTACCGGCATGCAAATCACATTACTTTATGAATGTCGTAGTCAGGTTATTGTTGGTTTATATTTCATTTACAATGCAAATATAAGCTAGTTCCATTTTCCCTCAATTCTGTTAGCTAAAATGCAGGGGTGAGATACACACACACACACACACACACGCACGCACGCACACATCTCTGTGGTTAGTCAGCATTTGTGGTCATCTCCTAATAGCTTGTATAATGGAAAGATTAGAAGCTCCCGTGGAATCTAGTGCTTCTATGTGAAAAGCTTTCTGTAACTGGTGCAATAAAATAAGGGTTGACCTGGAGATACAGAAAGTTCTAATGCAGATTGTAGATACCACTCACATCCTTTTATAGAAGACATTATTAAACAATGTTTTCCAAACTCTACAACTGCATTTTGTTGTTAAGTATGACTATTTCTAGTTATTGTAAATTTAAAATATTTTGGCTTTGACACGTAAGAGGAATTTTAAACGTACAACTTCTGCCTTTTTCAACTATAATGTTGCAAATGCATGGACGATGGGATGTACTTTGATCATCTCTGCTGTAAAGGAGAAAAAGGAAATAAGCTTCTCTGTAGGAAGATGGTGTGGCTGAGTCAATTATTGTGAATATTCTAAAACTTAGAAGGAAAGTCACTCTATAGCAGTGTAGAGGCTCAGTTTTGGGTAGCAGTAGCTATGTCAAAATTTAAAGTTAGATCAGACCAAGAAACCAGTGCCATGTACGTCAATTCTGCTTTTATTGTACAGCTGTAGTACAGAATTTTGTAGGTCCAAATGTGCTTCTCTCTCCTTTTCTTTATCTTCATGAGAACTAGGGACTGCTTGTCTGAAACATTTACTCATATTCCAGTACATTTTTTTTGCTCTGGATTCAATCACCTTGTTTTGGTAGTGCTCTCAACCCAGTCCCTCAAGGTTATTCCCTTGGCCTTCTACAAGTGGAGACTTGGTTGTATCATTGTGTTATGTTTGTTCAGTTACTGAGTTGTGTCCAACTCTTTGCAACCCCATGGACCATAGCATACCAGGCCCCCTTGTCCTCCACTATCTCTCTAAGTTTGCCCAAATTCATGTTCATTGCATTGATAACACTATCTAACCATTTCATCCGCTTCTGTCCCTTTCTTCCTTTGCCTTCAATCTTTCCCAACATCAGGTTCTTTTCCAATGAGTTCTCTCTTCTCATTTGGGGGCCAAATGCTTCAGCTGACTTGGTTGTAGATACAAATAGATATTTAAATTTGCCTGAGGCTTATATTGAAACAATAGTCTGAAGATAGTCATCAGTTCCCAAGAAATCGGTATTCCAAATATCTGAAGGGTATTAGATTCTTTAAAACACTCTCTAGACATAATATATTATTGACTTAAGGATAAAAATAAGCATACCTAGGATGTAATTTATGTTGTGCCTCAATGATGGCTATTTCTGGAGCTATCTATACACATTTTAAGCTATCTGCTTAAACATTTTTGAATCCTTTTGCATTTTGAATATTTTTGCATAAATGTAATCTAAAATGTGATTTGTTCTTCGCACACTTAATGATAGAGGTGACAATTCTAGCTGTGGTGACTAAGGTGGTCTTATTTTTTACTCATTCATTTAATTGGGTTCTCGATGTAGTTTTTAGGACTTGTATGAATGACAAATCACATTTTAGGTCATTTTTATGTAGAAATACTAAAAACTGAAAGGGCCATGTTTGAAAATGGATATCTTAAAGGAAATTGCCTCTGAATTACAGTTTAAGTTGTAAATGCCAGCCTTTACCTTTTTATTTTTTTCCCCCATCAAACCTAATGTACAGTAAGTGATTCGTGTTCTTTAATTCTGATTATAATGTGATATGTGATTGTGAAATCAAAATGCAGGACCCAATGCAGTGAATTTAAGTACTATTTGAAAAAAATATGTGGATATTTAAATTATCCTTGCTGTTTTGTCAAGGCTTGATGTTTATGTTTACTTTTCAGACTTTTAGCATGATGAGACAATTTGTGAAAATGTTGAATCTTCTTCTCCTTTGACGGTATCTACAATATGTTAAAATACCAAGTATGGACTTTTACAGTGCTGCAGTTTCCAATTTTATATAAGAATTTTTTGGGGAACAGAATTACTAGTTTCTATAGGAAACAGAAACTAGCTTTATTGCTATAGGAATTGCTTTTATAGAATGTAGGATTCTTATCAAAATCGTAGATTTTAAAAATATTTCTGACCTTTAGCTTTTCAAATATGAAGGGCTGGTAATCTCAAAATAGCAGAAACAGATAATTGGCAAGGAGAATTAAACTGTCATTTGTAATTCTCAACTTTTCTGCTTTTAACATACCGTTAGCAAGACTTTTCCCCCAGGATCTGTTGCTAGTCTGTCAAATGTATTAATACTAAATTTGCTACAGAATACGGAAAAGTACATTCACCTTCAAGTTGTTGATCGATTATATGTTCCTGTAGTTTCCTTGGCTGTAATACAGCAGTGATTTATCTTTACCTGGAATGTTTCTTTTTTCTACTTATACAATACGCTAGCAGAGTTGGAAGGGACCTTGGAGGTCTTCTAGTCCAACCCCCTTCCTAGGCAGGAAACCCTACACCATTCCAGACAAATGGCTATCCAGCATCTTCTTAAAGACTTCCAGTGTTGGGGCATTCACAACTTCTGGAGGCAAGTTGTTCCACCAATTAATTGTTCTAACTGTCAGGAAATTTCTCCTCAGTTCTAAGTTGCTTCTCTCCTTGATTAGTTTCCACCCATTGCTTCTTGTTCTTCCCTCAGGTGCCTTGACTCCCTCTCCTTTGTAGCAACCCCTGAGATATTGGAACACTGCTATCATGTCTCCCCTAGTCCTTCTTTTCATTAAACTAGGCATACCCAGTTCCTGCAACTGTTCTTCATATGTTTTAGTCTCCAGTCCCCTAATCATCTTTGTTGCTCTTCTCTGCACTCTTTTTACAGTCTCCACATCTTTTTTACATCGTGGCAACCAAAACTGAATGCAATATTCCTAGTACTTCCCTGGCTGGCCTGCAATACTGCTGTTCCCTGGAGTTGTCCTATCCAAATATTGACCAGATCTGATTACATATACATATGCATATGCATATGCACATGCGCGCGGGCACACACACACACACCTGCGACAGGTTTTTGTAGTTAGGATTTCATATTGCAGTGTTTCTCAACCTTGGCGACTTTAAGTCCCGTGGACTTCAACTCCCAGAATCCCCCAGCCAGCAGCTGGCTGGGGGATTCTGGGAGTTGAAGTCCACGGGACTTAAAGTCGCCAAGGTTGAGAAACACTGCAATATGAAATCCTAACTACAAAAACCTGTCGCAGGTGTGTGTGTGTGTGCCCGCGCGCATGTGCATATGCATATGCATATGTATATGTAATCAGATCTGGTCAATATTTGGATAGGACAACTCCAGGGAACAGCAGTATTGCAGGCCAGCCAGGGAAGTACTAGGAATATTGCATTCAGTTTTGGTTGCCACGATGTAAAAAAGATGTGGAGACTGTAAAAAGAGTGCATATTGGGTTTTTATTTTTTCATTTTTTCTAGAAATAAGTGCAAGAATGAGCTTCCATTTCAGGATGCCATTAAATTTCATTAATATAGATCCCTCTCCTTACAGTCTATATTTCTGTTTTCATTCTAAGGGGCATGTTCAACTGAATATCAGGTATGGGAATGGCCCAAGTGGCCTAACAGGTTTTTGATTGATGCTGCAGAGTGAATCATTGAAAAGAGTGAGGTTACCAGTTTCTTTTTTTTAAGTCTTAAATTCCCATAGAAGACAGTATACATAGCTCGGGGTTGAACTTTGGAGTCCTTGGTATTCTCTGAGCTTGGTTAATGGCTTGCAGATGTTTCATTATTCAACTAGGTAATATCATAAATGATGTTACCTGGTTGGATAACGAAACATCTGCAAGCAAGCAAACAAACATAGAGAGCACCACCGATTCCACAGACTCATGTAATTATACTGTGAGTGGCCCATCAGTTCAAGGGCTAAATTTTCAAAACAGGGCAAGAGCAAGCAGAGGACTAGGGAAACAAATGCAGATGGTATTGTTCAGAGGCCCTTTTTTTGCGGGGGAGATTCCCACTAGTTTCTGTTGTTATCACAGTCCACCCATCCCTCCCCAATAGTCTTTCCTGTTGTTCTTTAAGAAGTAGGCTTATCTTCCTCTTGGCAGCAAGTTCTGCCTGCTTTCATAGACAGTGCATATGGGAAGGACCTACTACAGACCAGACAGCGCTGCAACTCTGGTAGCAAAGAATAAAGCTAGTGTGTTCATGAAAAATAAACAAGAAATGGAATGGATGTTTTCAACCTTTCCAACTTAATGCTAGAAAAAAATCATACAAAAAGATTTATGATTCCACCTGTTTCTACCTGCCTGCTTGCTCATCTATGTGTCTATCAGTGAATTAACTGTTTGTCACACAATTGGCTTTCTGAATACTTATGAGCTGCCTATTTTTTTTTTATTGTTCCTACTTTTTAAAAATGTAAACATACAAAATTAAATGGAATCGGGTGGCCTTTACATTATATTAAATAAATAAAACTGGACAGAGTGGAAGAAGATTTAATCTATTGTTCTTTTTATTATTATGTTATAATATAAAATACATAGATACAAAAAAAATGGTAGGAAAAATAGGGGAGGGAAAAGGGAAGGGTAAATGTAGAAAGGTGTGAAAGAAAAAAAATCCATCGAATTCCAACTCCCCTTAGTGCAGCAGTAGAATAAGATAACATCAAACCTCAACTTTGTACTTTAACATAATAGTATAAACTAGCTACATCTATAACAATAAAGCAAAATTTAGAAATTCTGTAAAAAGAAGGACCGTGTTTGAAAATCAGTATGGGCTTCAGAGAAAATAT